CCGGGCAAGGGGTCTCGGGTTGGATTCCCGGGTCGAGCAAAGTATTACTGGGTTTTTAAATATTCTCAGTAATAGCGCGGAGTCTGGAATTGTGCCCGGTATATGGCAATAGGTGAGCCTATTACATGGGACTCATAACATAAATAGTGAAAAGTGGGTGTTACATTGTACAGTGGTATAATGTGCTCCTCTGCCTACCCCTTCGGGGATAAAAGGCGTGATGTTATGTTATGTATTTAATAATAATTTTAAACAATAAACGAGATTTTCACCCAAAATAAAATCTAAAATATCAGCAATAGAATCTACATGTCCTTCCCAACCAACCGTAAGACGGCCTCAATGTATAAAGGTGTAACAATAACGGCTGGTCGAGTGATTACGTCTGGTTACTGTTATTGCACTGCCCAGGTACGCGGGTACGGCCCACTTTTTGCAGGAAGTTTGTATAAACCCGCCATCTTGCTAATATGTTCGTCTATTTTTATTTGTAACCTTTTTTGTGTCAATACGTGTAAACTTTTCCGTGATTTTTTGTTTCTATGGTTGGATATCTTTGTCTATCTTTATTACAGACTTTTGGAAAACCCATGATTTGAGTAAAAAATATATATATACCTATTGATAATTTTGTGACAATAAATTTTATTGGCAAAATTTTTATTTTCTAAAATGATTACATAGCCATATATTACATACCGTATAGAATAAAGACATAAAGTCGGACATACAATGCTATTCTAAAAAAAACGGCCTTTGATAAAATCTCAAACCTAACCTATAACTATTATCTAAGAATTCCATATTATTATCACAAAAAACTTAAAACATTGCAACACTAAATTCCTAGCAAACCTAGACAGCAACCACAAACAAGACCGCGAATCGATTAGAAGAAAAAAAAACAAACTGACTCATCTATGATACAAAAATCGAACACTGGCCGAAAAGAAAAAAAATATGAATTTGAAAATATCGTAAGCGCCAACCACTGTAGTAGAAGTTTAAATTTAGAAACAGACTTGGTTTTGAGAAGTGTCCGTCATCGCGGGCCGCTATATTGTTTAGCCACCTACGCACACACATATTTGATAGGCTCAACCGCGCTTTTTATTGCTATTTTCTCGGCAACCTGCAAATAGTTCTGTTTAGTTAACTTGGCCTTGGTCGATGGGAAAATTGTTGCAGATGTGTGAAAGTAGTGGTTTCACGTGTGTGGTCTTCATTTTTTGCGTTTATCTCGGTTGCAAGTTATATGTTCGTGGCACGTCTATCTTCCTGAGTTTGAATTTTTAATTCTTGGTAAGAAATACATTGCATTTTCTTCGCCATTATCTGTTTTCATAAGAGATTTATTTATGTAACTAGAGAATTGTATTGTGAACTTAATTGAAAAAGAGTAACCTATGAAGTTTCTTGCTCGTTCTTCTCCATAGGAATCTACATCTTGGAATGAGGAAATAGCTTCACTTTTATTTTTTTTTGTTGACGTTCAAAAGTGCCTTTCTGGTCTAATTGAAATAAATGATTTTGACTTTGACTTTGACAATAGTTATTAACCGATTTCAAAAAAGGAGGTTGTCAGTTTGACTTATATCTATATGTGTATTTATGTTTCGCGATTGACTAAACCTATTTTGATGCGATTTCAAAAAAGTGTTTGTTACACTTAGGAGAAGGTTTTAGTATGTTAATTAACCGATTTCAAAAAAGGGGGTCGATGTGGGTTTTTTAAACGTAGTTTTTAAAAGAATTATGTAATAATATTAAATAAGAAGTGTTATAACGAAAATCAGACTCATCTCCTCACTACGGGACTATGACATTTCAAAAAGAAGGATCATAATAATTTTAGGATCTCTGTTAAAAATTCCATGGGTATTTACAAAGAGAATTACCGTATTGACTAATCCAGTATCATATGCTGACATTTGAATGGTTTTTCCACGTGTATATCATACCATTGGAAAAACCATAATTGTGCATTGTATGAATTTATTGAATTAGGTACCTAGTAGAACGGTATAAAAATATTTATATTCACACGATGCCGAGGTGGCGAGGAATTTTTCCACAATTGATTGATTGAGGCAATAATATCTGTTAATGAACAACGGTAAATTAAACTATGACATTGCTAAATACATAATTATATTCTTAATCTTATTGCCTTGTATTAAAGTATCAATTACAATGAAATTATATGATAAGCTTATAAACATTGTTTTAAAAAACTTCATATAAAACCGACTGCACGGTTAGCGCTGTAGATGGGCGACCGGCTGCCGCGCATCGTGTAGCGGGTTGGATTCCCGCACGGAGAAAATATTTGTGTGATCTAGAAATTGTTGTTTCGGGTCTAGGTGTCATGTGTATGTGAACTAGTATCAAAATCAAAGTCAAAGCATATATTTCAATTAAACCATAATTTGGTATTTTTGAAACGTCAACAAATACAAAATAAATAATAGTCTGTTAGTAGTGTCAGTCAGTTCGTCAGTGAAGCTAGGTGAAGCTAGGTGCTCATTCCAAAATGTAGATTCAAATGGAGAAGAACGAGCAAGAAACTCCATTCGTTATATATGTTTGTAAACGCACCTACGACCCAGGAGCTAATTCTAGTGTGTTTTTTCTTTAAATACATATACACCTTCCTACTATCAGCCCACATTCTTATCAATCACAATATATCACGTATGTGTATGCATGTTTGTGTACAATAACTCAACATAGTAACTATCTCCTTAAATAAAACTTCTTGTATGTTTTTCATGAAAATACCAATAGTGTGAGGCCCATACACTTTCGTATGTAAACACTAGCTTCCTGATGCCCACGGAAAATGACTAAACTTCTCTATTATTGTTTTGTTTTAAATAGAAAAGGTTAGTCATCATAGAAGTATGATGGAACGTGTTCATTGGCTGACCTATTCTCTGGTGTATCTTTCGTCGGAGCTAAACGTTTTGGAAGACAAACATAATTAAGTATATGGGACAAAATTGTTAGGGAATGTCGAAGATTTTCTGTGGTATTGTCTATACTGGTTTTGGCTAGAATTCAGAAGTGTTTTCTTATAGAATAAGTCTCGTTGTATAGCGATGTGTCAAACACCATCTGCATGCTTTTATTTAGTAATGCAATTTTCTACGGGGAATTCTTTTCGTAATTAACTATGGACGACTGTAATAAATTGAAGTACGATACAATCCCCACCTTCTTAAACTTCAACACCCGAAAATACCTTACCGAAAAAGTAATTATTATTAAACAAACCATACAATAAGTCTTCACAGTTACACGTTTTTATGACAATGTTAATAACAAAATGCACACTACCGCATTATATGGCGGAGCGTGCGCGCGCATAGACCGCTGCGGTTATGCGGCGCGTGCGCTCGGAATAGCCGCGACCTTTGTAGCAGTTGTTACGCGCCCGTCTGCGCCCGCGCTTAGCTTTATGAAGCGACTACACATAATATTAATACCTCGGTGTAAATAGCTTAGGTTAAAATTGTCATGACATTTAGTTTCTAGCGAATAATAGTCTTGAATCTTTTAGGGTTGGATCCAGTCTAAATTGATGGATTGTTCTATCCAAGCTTCCTGATGATGACGTAGAAATAGACGACGTTTAAGGGTGGGACAGCCATGTTTCGGCACGAATGGGCCGGTTCCACCACTGGGAGTGATACCACTGCCTTACAGAAAACCGATGTGAAACAACGCTTGCGTTGTGTTTCGTCGTGTGAGTGAGGTTACTGGGGGCTTGGGGCCCAATTACACTTCCTACATTCAATCCTTGAATCTCCAACAATCCTTAAATTTCTTATCGCCAAAAGGCCGGTAACGCACTTGTAGTAAACAGTCCAGGTGTCCATGGGCGACGCCGATTGCTAACCATCAAGTGATCCGTCTGCTCGTTTACCTGCTTATCCTATATAAAAAAGACGGCTAACTAGAAACGATGCCCATTTAAGATTTTAAATAAAATAATAAGATTTTGAATTGCATTAGAATTGAAAAACGTTTCACGAAGGACAAATATCACATTTTTATGTGGATTATCGTTTCCTAAATTTTATTTAATAATTTTTACTTAACACAGCGTTCGCTATCAACACGATAAAATTGTCCGCGTTATATCATTTATCTGCAACAGTTTTCTATCCACAGTCAATGACTTGAACCGTGAAACTAGTATCTGGCAGACATAGAAGACAGATGATAATTATTATTAGGAATCCATTTAGCATTATTTATTTTACTCCAACAATAGACCCGCCCCCTTTCCCCTGGAACATAACACTGTCAACAAACAGACACAGGTGGGTGTAGGACAATGCACTATCGCCTACCTTTTCGGGGAAGACTTCAATTTCCAAATAGCTATTTTAGTAGAAATCTGTGCACTGAGTGAAACACTGAAAATTACTAATTCAGTTTTTATCGTCACTTAATGAGTTTCTTTAAATAAACAGAAGGCGACTTTTTTGGATGTATATGGACCCTGCCTGACTGCCCATTTAATATAAATTCAATGATGAGGTCCCCATATACCCACAGAGTAAAACGGGACTTTTATACCAGATTGTATACCATCCACCCTGATGGATTGACTGTTGAACTGCTATTTATCAATGATAATATACGATTATGCGACTATTTAAAGACACTTAAAGTATTTCAATTTCTAAAGGACCACATGCAGTTCATTTGGACATCTTCGTAGCTCATACACACAACAATTTGATTGAAGGGACAAATTCTTCAGAAACAGATTTTATTTTTTATTATTAAGTACCTACTTTATATGGGTATTTTTTATGTGATAAGCCGGTAAACGAGCAGACGTATCACCTGGTGGTAAACAATCAGCGTCGCCCATGGATACCTGGAACACCAGAGGCGTTACAAGTGCGTTACCGGCCTTTTTTATTTTTTAACCATAATTTTTATTTTATAACCATAATTAATGGCAAATTTTTGTATTGTTCCAGAGACGACCGGCGGTAGTGTGTTTGGTGTTCCTCTATCTCAGTGTGTGGAGAGCGAGCGAGCGCTGCGACGGCAGCAACATGGCGGCTCTCGAGCGTCGCTCGCATCCCTCGGAGCCCTAGAGAAGGGCGATGATGTAAGTTTTTCTGGAGTAAGCTATAATATTTTAAAATTATTTGGTGGAACCAAGAATGTGATATCGCCCTTGGCAAGTTTAGAAAGTCAGATACATAGATAGCAATTGCAGCATGGGAAATATTGATGATCAGTATAATCTAAGATTTGGTGCCGACACTTATAAGAGGACAGCATATAAATGTTAACAATTTAGCTGACTGAATTCCTTTAGAAATATGCTTACTATCCGTGGTTATTAATATCACTTTGAAGGACAAAGTTGTCATATTAATCTTACTGAACATCTTGCTAATCAGATTATTATACCGAGATGCTCCTTAGTCAGACTATTCTAATCTATAAAAGACGCGTAACGAGAAAGTTCGATAACCAATCAAACCAAAAATAGAACCAAAACTAACAATAGACCGTTAGATGAATTAAAAGATCCATCAATCGATCAAGCCATAATACATCAGACTTCTATTTTCTACTGCAACCCAGTCGTCTAGGTTCAACCACCCAGTATTCATTGACCCTTAAATTTGTGCTGCAAATATCTTATTGAACCAGCGAATGTTTGAGTAGGAGCGATTAGGAGGGTCGTGTTATGTTGGTCGTGTAAATGCTACTGTTCGTCATTCGCCATTTGAGCGCTCAGAAATAGTTTGAGAGTGTTAGCCAAGACACGTAACGCGTGACGTCGCGTTGCACCTGGGCCTATCAGACATGCAAGTGGATATACTAAACGGAGATGAGGAAGGGATTAGGATATTGCGTGGTTAAACGATTATTCATTGCATCATGTGGTTTGTTTATATTTCCCCGATTTATCTCCGGTAAGAGCTATGAGAAGGAATGTGTTTCGGTAGATATTGCTGATGCTATATCGTGATGATGATGGTATACAGTTTTTCTACATATTTTTTGCAATAATCAATAGATGTTTTAAACTCTAAACCGTGAAGAGAATACAGGAATGGTAAAGTAAAAAGGGATATAAAAAAGTTGATTTTTTACTCTGACCGAAATGATGGAAAATGCGTACTTCGTTCACCACTTGCTTTGTTTAACTCGTCGAGCACCGTATTTATAGACACAATTAAAGAACAATAGGTTGCGGTCACTGGTGACCGCTTGGTGTTTGACAGTTTAATATTGCAGATATAAAGAACAAAGATTTAAGAAGCCTTATAATCATTAATGAATTACTTCTTAGTTATAACGAAGTACCATAAAATCCCCATACCAAAGCGTAAGAACATGAAATAACGTTCTATGAAGTAGAAAATTTTCCGCATAAAATTCGCCACGTTTAGCGGAGAACTGGCATGAAACTATGTGGCAAATGGTTGTTACTTTGTGTGCTTATTATATTTGTGACGGAGTCTTTAATGTTTGTACCACATTGACGTGGTTAGGTTACATTTTAACTTTATTGTTATTGTTGTAAATCAGTTTTGAATTCGTGACAAATTGGTCTGTTTTGTGTCCACTTGCAGTATTAACTGATTTGTGTTTCGTACTCAGAAAAATGTTAAAGAGATAGGAAACAATCAAAGTGATGATTTTATAGAGAATAGAATTATATACAAATGTCATAAATAAGATAAAATAAAAGCTAAACAAAGTATATATTTTTTAGCTTTGGTTTAGAAGTAGAAAAGACAGAGAACTAATCTAATTTAAATTACCACATAAGTGCTTATAGTGACAGCACATAGCAACACAAAATATAATAAAAACCGAACTACCACAGACAGATATTAAAACAACACAATCACAACGACAAAAAGTTGCAACAAACTCCCACACCGCAACATTATTAGAGAAAAAGACGCAAAAACTACAGAACATTGAAAGTAGATTAATTAGCAAAAGATAAATGTTTATAAAGCAACAATACACGAATTTCTAAAACCGATATAAAGCCAATAATTACGCGTTTTACTCTACCTGAGTCAACATACACCTGTATTGAAAGCTAGCGGCGTAAATAGAACGCTGTCTTTATTACGATCTCATGTTAATCGCTAGTTTTGCAACATTCTGACGTAATTACTGATTATGAGGTTCATGTTTCTGGATTATTCTTTTGTAGTAGATTTGTATAGAAGTCTTGTAACATAACATACCATAACATAACACGCCTTTTATCCCCTAAGAGGTGCGCATTACGGCACTTAATGCCACTGTATAATGTACACCCACTTTTTACTATTTATGTCATGAGCCTATTGCCCACAGATATAAAATGTTTCTGTGCTATTGCCATATACCGGGCACAATTCCAGACTCCGTGCTACCACTGATTTTTTTTTAAACCTAGTAGTACTTTGCCCGACCCGGGAATCGAACCCGAGACCCCTTGTCCGGCAGTCGCACTTGCGATCACTCGGCCAAGAAGTATTGTTATATGGATATGAGCATCTTTTCTGCTACGAGTATTATCAAGCAATCTGAATTAAAGATTGTCATTGTAAAATCTTTCGATTTCCTTTGCACGGTTAAGTATCAGGCAAAAAGACTCAAAACTACACTAGCGCCACTTTCATACGAAAATCGTCATCAGCAATAGGGCCCAGACAGTTGAGCAGACGTATTGTTGCAATGTGGGTGGTTGCTATGACAACCAAGATCTCAGAACGAGTCAATAAATCAATGTAATGACAGGGAATCGTCTTGTTTGCAATTTATGTCCGAGTGACGAGTAAACAAAATTGTGTTGCGTGGGCGCAGAATGCAGATAAACGATTTAATTTGTACAATTGGCAAGTGTGGGAGAGTTTCGACACGAATGGGCTGGGTCGGCCGGAGTGATACCACGGCCTCATAGACAACCGGCGTGAAACAACGCTTGCGTTGTTTTTCACCGTGTGAATATTTATTTTTATTTTTATGGTAGGTACCATCTATGCCAAATAAATGTTTTCTTTCTTTATTTCTTTCTAAATGAGGTTACTGGAGCCCCAATCCCCTCTCCACCATCTTTAATGTTCAAAGTCCTCCCATAAAGGACAAGTAGCGCACTTATAACTCTCTCTTTCTACTACCTATTTGGCGTTTTGAGTGTCTACAGGCGGCGCTGATTGCTTTCCATCAGGTGATCTGTCTGCTCGTTTGCCGTCTTATCCCATAAAAAGAGTTTACTCTTGACCCACACTTACTAGGAATTTTTGTATCGTAGGTACGTTTACAAACATTGAACTTATGTTGTGTATGTGATCTTGTTAATTCACACGGTGTGAGTTCCTTTGCGTTGTTTGTGAATGACAATGGGATATCAAATATTTTTCTCTGAACTTTCTCTGTAGTAAATATTTATATTTACATCAATTGTGTTTTATTACTTTAAATCATATTTTTAACTATCTGACAAAAAGTTTTCATTACGTTTTTAAAACTGATGATCTTATTACTTACTATGTAGGTACTTATACCGATTAACCATATTTGTTAGCTGAAAAAACTATGTTTATAAGTTTACTTAATCGAGACGTAATCTCTAATTTTCCTTCAAATAGAGAAAATCATAACCTTGTGTTTTCACAACATTATTTAGTTCAAATGTGAGGAAAATATAACCGCTGTTAACATAATATTATGACGATCATCAATGTCAACAGTCCACGGTAACATTTTAATTTACGTCCCAAACATATCTGAACTAAAACCGAAACAATGTCCAACAAAACGGTAATCTATAAAAATAAAAATAAAAACAGAAAAAAAATTGCAAAACATAAAAATAAAAATGTTGAAAAAGCTTCCTCGTTTATTTTTAAACCGTCTGAAAATAATGTGCAATTAGGAAAGGACCTTGTATCCGCGTGTCAATAGGTCGGGAATGACGTCACGTGTCGTCATAGGTATCCGATTACCTGGCCTCAAGTCTTGATCATTAAGGCCGCGATAAAATTATCGTATGACGCGCCTGCGCACCGTGTATATATACCCTGTTCAAAAATAACTAAGTCTATAATAAATCCGATGAAATTGCTTACCTTGTGGGAACTGTTACAAAAGGAACGCAGTATTATTGCTTTGATGATTACATATTTATTAGTCTGACGATGTTTTGAATGGTTTTACATATTAAAATACATATCGAGGCTACTGTGGAACGTGATTATTTCGTTTCGTAGCAAATTGTAATTGTAAAAAGTATCTATGATTATAATAACAAGAGCAAGCGTGTGTGTATGACTAAAATAATTTTTAAGGAAAAATGGACGAATAAAAGGCTATCGAAGAAGTGGTTGTGATTATTCCTGAAAGAAAATGTTCTTAGTACAGTTACAAGCGGGGAGGCGAGCGATCGTTCTTGTAAAAACTGCAGCGTCTTACGAATGCTCATGGGAACTTCACATTGTTTCCAATCTGACGCTGTTAATCCTCGTGGCATAGCATATTCTGACGACTGACATACACTAAGTAGTTACTAGGTTTAAACTTTAAGGTGTCAAAAATTGTTTCCGTCTCATTTTATATTTTTTAGCATTTACTATATATGGCCCTGTTGTAAACACATCATCTCCACGGTCGAGATAATCTAAGCTCTATTGTATACATTTTTATATCTTTGTAATTAACGTGATTTTTCAATGATTCCAGAGTGAATCCTGTGATTCGGGAGAGTGGGGCTGGGCAGGGCTAGAGGAGGCCGGCCTGGGTGGCCCCAAGGTACCGGGGATAGTGTCCGCCTGTCTCGCACACCTGCGGAGACATGGCATGCACACCCTTGGACTCTTTAGGGTATCCGCCTCCAAGAAGAGAGTAAGACAGGTAAGGAGATCAGATACTAGACAAAATATTTATTGACCTAGCCTGCAGAACCTGCCTTAGGTATTATACAAGAATAAGTGTCCATTTTCAACACATTGCCTGCTAATCTCTTGAGCATATGACTACAAACTAAATTATATCATGGACACATGACAATGTAGCGATTGATTAGGTAATTGACACAACATAACATAATATCACGCCTTTTATGCCCGAAGTAGCCACAGGTGCGCATTTAATGCCACTGTACAATGTAACACCCACTTTCCACTATTTATGTTATGAGTGCCATGTACTAGGGGGTGAGCCTATTGCCATAATACCGGGCACAGTTCCAGGTTCCGTGCTACTACTGAGATTTTTTTTAAACTCAGTTATACTTTGTCCGATCCGGGAATTGAACCCGAGACCCCTTGCCCGGCAATCGCACTTGCAATTCGGTAATTGTCTTTCCACAGAATGCATATATGTGCGTATCCTATTATCCCTTCTCATGAATTTCTAAACATAGCCACTCCTTAAATAGGTCTTTCAGATCATCTATAGAATGTAAATCATGGTCTATTTGAAACGTCCCAATATTACTGCCATGTGATATTCAGCTAGGTAATCAGTAGAAGATCTTAATTAAGGAAGCAACCCTTGATTGGCAAGATAACGCCACATTCTGGCTTTGGTCTTAGTTCTAAAACTGGCGATGACTTGGTGAGATCATTGCGTTTCCAGTCATCATCATTTTAGGATACATGGATTTCAATTTTGGCCTCGTCTGTAGTTCTGTTATACTCGTAGATATTACTTATTAAAATCAGTTTTGTGAATACATTACTAAAATAATAATTTTGTCTTAGCCATTATTCCAATCAACTTTGCATTCATCTCACTAATATAATTTGCGTCAAACGTAATTCAAGCATATTTTATTCTTCTGTAATTTCCTTCCCCGGATACATTGCCCTTCATAATCGCTATTTCAATTATGGTTCTACACATTCTCACTGTTGCTATCGAAGAGAATTACCCATACTTAGCATCTGAGACAACAGCCACTATCTATACTAATTTTGACCAGCTAAAAATCATAATTTGTGGCAATCAGCAAGCTAACTAAGTATTGTCGGCTATGACAGAATTAACGGCACTAAATCAGAAGCAGTCACTTGTTTACAGTCCAGAATAAACACGCTTTGTGAGAATAAAACATGGATCGACCGAATTAGATGTTTTCACGAACGTAAGGTATTGTAGCGGAGTGGCTCGGTAACCTACTTGCTACATTTATTACTGAATGCTATTGTTTGGCTTGTGTATTAAGTTTCGTGCTGATTGCTGGCACACTTACGGCTGGAAATATTTGTATACGGCTCATTTATGCAACCCTTTTTTACTAAAATAGTTGTTGCCACCAGGCACCAGGGTACGTTTCATTATGTGAGTAGTATAGTTACCGATAACAGTTATATCTCCGCCGTTACGACCCAATATCAAGAGAGTAGTCCTTCTAAAAGGCCCGGCAACGCACTCTTCTGGTGACTCCTCTGTTGTTGGAGGTATAAATAGGTGGCCTTGATCTCTTATCATCCGTCTGCTTGTTTGTCCCCGATTCCTTGTAAAAACGAATCTTTATAACACAATCTTTGTTCTATCTTCCAGTTGCGTGAGGACTGGGAACGGAGTCAGGAAGCAGCGCTAGATGCGGCAGTGTGTCCGCACGATGTCGCCACTCTGCTGAAGGAGTTCCTCAGGGACCTTCCTGACCCTCTACTCTGCAGGGACTTGTACCCTGCCTTTTTGAACACGCAAAGTGAGTACCTACCAATATTTGAAAAACCTACCAAACTACTATTTATGTATCTATAACGTCTCATGATATGAACTTGATAGGACTAGGAGTACCTACCTGCCTACATTCCAAAATTCTATTCTTCAAGTTTGAACTAGGAAAGAAGGAACGTCATTACTCCTCTAAAACCAGTTCACGGAATGATGGAAAGTCTAGAACCGCAACTTTATTATTTAAGATCTTGATTCAATCTTCGTCATAAAAACTGCAACTGAAAATGTCATAAGATTCACCAACACATTTTAAAATTCTCCAGAAATCCACAACCGCCGCTTCCAGTGGGAAGCTCTGCGGCTGATAGTCCAGCTGCTACCAGCAGCACACCGGGACACCCTCAACGCGCTGCTGTCGTTCCTCGCGCAGCTCGCCGCACACTCCGAGGACGACCACGAGCCTGGCAACAAGATGGACGCCGCCAACCTGGCCACCATCTTCGCACCTAATATACTGCATAGAAATAAACCTAATGAGCCTGCAAGGTTGGTTGATACGCTCATTTTAGCTGCACTTATTTACACTCTAAAATAAGTAATTTTTGATCTAGTAGTCCCTATTACAATCTTCTTTTTGATGACAGAGGATGGCAAATGAACAGACATGTCACCTGAGGCGTGATTGCACTGACGGCCAATTAGGGGCGGTTTAGGGGATTTGGGAATTGAGGATCGGGTATTAGAAAAAGAGAATTGGACCTGTCACATTAATTTGTCAGTGTTTAGCTTTTACGATAGAAATGTACATGAATGCTATATTATACTGAAAATTTTAACAATATCTTTCCATAATTTCAGCGTGGAACAGCTATCAGAGCGAGCTGACGTGATCAACGTCGTCCGCCAACTGGTGGAGAAGCAGGCCGAGCTGTGGACACTGCCGGCCGAACTACTGCACGAGGCGTACATACACCTCGCGCACACCGCGCCCGCGCACCTCGACTCCTTACTGCTGAGGAGAGCTGAGTAAGTTACTGCTGTTATCTGAACTGGTTCCAGCTTCCTTTTGTTGTCTAGCTTCCTTGCAGAATAACCCTTGTCATACCTAGGTATATCGATAGCACATGGTTTTAAAAAAAATCTTGTATGATCTTTGGTTCTTCAGAAAACAGGTAAGTCGGTAAATTTTGGGATTTAAACCTTTCTACAGTTACCTATCGTTACCCGATTTCTTGTTTTCTGTTCTTTGGTGCCTAGCAATCTACCTCTACTATACAATAGTAAGTATTTTTGTTGTGTTTTTGTTGTTCTTTTTGATGCATGCTCATTGTTGATTTTGTGATCGGTTCATTGAAGATACTAACAAAATTGTATGCTGACGTTCAAATCTTTGTGCCTGCTTATGGTAAAAAGTTCGTGAAATAGTTATAAGACACTGTTTTGAATTCCTCTGTAGAACAACATTGTGGTTCAACAATATACAGCAATACAACGGAACCATTTTTGTTTCGTTTTCCACTCATTGCATCATCATTGGCCTTTTGTAATAATCAGATCAAAAGGAACCCATTTGTAAATGACAATATGACACGGAAACCATAAGATCCCAAAGACCATTTGTACAATAGAACATGAATGCGTGTGCTCCCTTCCCTCATTGCATCGTCCTTCTTCAGGTGTGCTGCTGAAGCGAATGCGGAGAATAATGAGAACAACTTGAGACAAGTTTGGTCCAGAGAGCAGTTCCTACATGGAGCCGCGGCTACTGGTGGTCCCGGCAACTTGCCTAGGTAAACACCTTCCAGAATACAGGAATTTGGTGCTGTTCGGGGCAATCACCGAACAAATAATTGTAATACGCTAAATATACTAATCATGTCACCGTAATTGCGACACACCGCAATATGTCATGAATATATTATGTATTACTTAGGTAAAAACGCTCAGTACGTTCAGTACGTTGATGAATACGGACGCTACTCAATCTCATCTCACTCACCTCATTAGACTTAGTAGTTATCTCATTAGTATCGAAATATATCTTTCATTCTACCTCTACATCCTAGAGTTTATCTTGAACTCACCCCAACCCAACAACAGGTGCTGCTAATTATTGTAATGATTTGTGGAAAGCTGTGGATGGTAAGTGGTCATCAGGATCTTTAGCGAAGACGGTTTAATGAGAGCATATCTACAATTATTTATCAAACGGCTTACAGAATTTTATATAGGCTTGTTAATTTTAGCGTAGTCTTGTGTTTAAAGGTGTCAGTTTATAAAAAATCATTAATATGATGAATTGAAACAGTTGGTCCCATAACTGACATTGATAACATTTATATTACACTTCTCTCTGTTAATGTCCCTGCCTATGCTCGGCAGGCGCAGTGAGAAGACTTACTCGCGCAGACGGACGAGGGAGACGGCGGCCTCCGACACCTCCTCCGGCTCCTTGTCCTCCGCCATGACTATTGTTACCAGGTACTGCTTCATACAGACCTAGACCTTGCCATATATGTTATTTATAACGTAAAAGGTATAATAATAATGTGTTCATAGTTATGATTTCTGTAACCTGGTTGAAAGTATATCTAAATCCATTAGTCATCTTTCCGTAGCCCCTAAGCTAGTAGCACAGTTAGTTGGTCTTCGGTAGCAATTTTGTAGATCTTTCTCAATATAAAATGTTATCGGTTCAGGGTGCGCAGCAGTGAGGAGTGCGGCAGTAGTGGCGTCGTGTGTGGAGGGAGCACGCCGCAACAACGCACAGACTCCAATGACTCCAACGACTCGGCCAGCGACTACAACGAGGTAACAACTTCTTTTTGGTTGCATCAAACAGCCTTGCTTTTTCCTATTTTTTGACAAATTGTTATTCATCTTGTGATGTTTCCTCAGACGCTGGGCGGGTCAGACGATGACAGCTGCGTAATCACCGCGTCCCTCCACATCCCCGCCGCCTTCAGTCGCGGTGGCGGCCGGCGAGGACCGCGCTCCACACCGCGGCGGCGGTCCACGTCGGGATCAGAATCATCCAACAAGTCTTCTAATAAGTCATCCAATAAGCGCGACTCGGCAGTGGGATCCTCATCTCCGGCATCGGCGTCGGCGGCATCATCCCCGCCCGCCAGCCCTCCCCCTGCGCCCGCGCCACTACGCGTCACCCTCACCTCCGCCGCTGAGGTCAGACGCCCCTCTCCCGATCTTGACAGAATTATGGCGCTTAGCAGGTAACCACACTTACAAGTTGATCACGCGTACATTGCCGTTTTCCTTAAAGTTTGAAAGTACAATGAAATATTTAATTCCAGAGAGCGCAACACTTCAGATGCTCGCGCAGTGATGCTGCGGCAACATGATGAGACTACTGTACGCACGCGTAGCTCCTCGCGGCAAGAGACCACCACCCGCAAGGAGGCCCCCAGTGCGGGGCCCGGGGGGGGCGCACGGCCCGCTACTGGGAGCCCGGCGCCCCCCGCGGCGGGGAGCGGCCCGGCGCCGGGCCCCGCGGCCGCGGGCACGCTGTACAAGCGCGGGGAACTCATCTCCAGCGCGAGACCCTCCACGTGACGATATACTTGACTTTACATACATACACTAATATTTATCAGTTTCGAAAGTGTTTTATTCGTATTTGTTTATTGAATACCCTAGTATTGTTTCACGGAGTGGCTGTGAACTGTCAAAATGTTATAAATTATTTGTCATGGATGTCATAAGACTTTGTAAAGTAAGAATTATTTATAAATAACACCATCAGTATCTGATCCAAATAGTTTATTCCATGATTGTCCCAGTTGTCCATAGTGTGGTGTGTTGCACGGTGGTCTACCTCCGATGCAGCTTGTCTCGCATGATGATGGCGCCGAGCTTGGACACGCCGTCCTGGTACTCCGTGCGTCCAAGCGGTGGAGTGGCAGATGTCGTTTCTATCAACATAATTACATCATAAAATAAAAAGTATTAACTTATAGCATAAACAATATTTGATAAATTACAAATAAAGCTATTTTAGGAATTCCTTAACGCACAATGATAATAAAAATACAAATCTCACCGCATTTTGCTCTGGGATCGCTGGTGGCGCCGGCGCCTGCCTGCTTGGAGATGGTCTTGGGCGCAGCCTTGGGTGGCTTGGGCCCGACGCGGCATGGATCCCCGGGCAAGCGCATCGGTTGCGCACACGGACCCGTGCCGCTCTCGTCTGCTGCTCGTTGGAGACCTTCGAACTTGGCTCCGGGACCTGGTCGAATATAATAAATATAAAGTAAATATTATATATTCAACGCATAGCGGTCAAATTGAGCAGTGTTTATAGTGTTTGATACTAGGTTTAATAAAAAAAAGGACTTAATAACGCGACTGCAAGATATTTTTTAAAGTTCTCGTTTATAATAGAGTCTTTAAAGGACTCGTGCAGAGAAGGTGAACATTAATATTTACCTGACTCGCAGAAGTCGACCTGGTAAGTGGTCTTGTTGCGGTCCCGGTCTATTCTCTGCTTCAGCTCTGGGGAGGCTTCGTTCTGCAGGATGCTGTACAGCATCGGGTACTTTGATTGTAACTGAATAGAGAAATTTATTTGTTATTATCATCATCATAATAAATATATCAACTACAACGTCAAAAACAAAACGTCCATTGCTACATACAGGCCTTACCTAATGACTTGCATTCAGTTGCTCCCTGCAATCTATTCGTCTATTTACCTTGATTATCTTAATCAAACATGTTTTTCAAAATAACTACTAGTGTCACTGCGTACCTTATCCAAGAATGCATTTGGTTGATCATATCGCGATGTAGGTGTTTCTGGAGCCGCTCCAACACGGACTGGATATAGTTTCGGATCCAACATTGGTCCCATAATCTGGAAAAGGTTTATAACGGATTTTTATCAAGAAAGATAGCCTTTCTTGAATGAAAACCAACTTTTTACAATAATTGAGCGTTATAGTGCTTAGTATAACAATATAAAATATATTCCACCTTTACTCGCTTCGATCTGTCACTTGAATCGATCGAAATTTTATTGAAAACACCCTGGTTTTGTACTAGCTCTGATTAAAAGACATCTTCAACATATGTACAATGTAAATTCAAGTTCAAAACACTAATGAATGCCATACCTCATTACGACTCCATCCTCCTTCCTTCCCAGGTGGTAGTACAGGCATCTCCCCCCCAGAATACTGGGGGCATCGGCAGTCCGGCGGCCGGGAGTGTTGTAGACATGCTTGGTAGAATGCTAACTCCTGCCCGGAGAGTTTTGAAATACTAGGGGCGGTGAAAAGGTTAGGAATCGATTTTTGCCCGCATTATACCTTTGCCTGCGCATGTTTTGCTCTTACTACTCGACAGGACAGATGGGAGTTAAATAAAGGAGGTATTTAATACTCAAGTAAGTGTTTGTTTGTAAATAGAAACATGCAGACAGGCTTAATATAGTAGAGCAAGAGCCAGCGGCCCGCAGACCTTCGGTAAAGTATAAAACCTGTAAGTTTCTCAAAGTATGTCCCCAACACAGGTAAGAATGAATCCCGTCTATGTAACTTGGGTCGCGGTGGCTTTCGCAGGTATCAGGTAATAAAGGTGTGTAAAATTGTGTGTTAAATTTGGTAAAATATAAAACTCAGTTTTTACATATTTGACTTATAATAATCCCAAAAGTCATCTTGCCGAAAGCCAGACACTTCGTACGGTTCCAACCCTCTGCCAGACACCCTTAAAGTATATTTAATTGTTACTATACTTACGGTATAGTATAAAATCTGCAATTTATATATGTTATTTGGATAACTATAAAATAATGTTTCTTCAATAGCCAGACAGTTTCTGTGGTTCCTTTATGTTGCCAGGCACATAAAAAGTCTAATGTAGGTTCGAGCGTGAGGGATATATTAGTCAGCGGGTGCAAGTGAAATAGCGCGTTCGGTCCCTTGCGACGTTTTACTGCGCATCAACTGTCATTTATTGTGTATTATGTGGTGAATAGTCATACGTACAAGAAACGTTTTATTATTGTTTTGTTCAATTTATAAAATAATAATAAGGGAATATCAGTGTGATCATGGAAGGACAATTAATTTGTTTTCTGTGTAAGAAAAGTGATGGAAAAAGCGATAAATAAAGCGAAAAGCGATATATATGCAATTTATATAGTGTTGGTAATATTATTGATGTTGATACAGCAAGATTCCAAATGTTTATAGATTCTTATACAGTCTCTGATGTCAACGAGGCATTTAATCGAAAAAAATTACGAAATTTCGATGCCAGCAGTTTGCCACCTTGTAAAAGTGAGCTATCTCAGTAAAACGTCGCAAGGGACCGAACGCGCTATTTCACTCGCACCCGCTGACTAATATATCCCTCACGCTCGAACCTACATTAGACTTTTTATGTGCCTGGCAACATAAAGGAACCACAGAAACTGTCTGGCTATTGAAGAAACATTATTTTATAGTTATCCAAATAACATATATAAATTGCAGATTTTATACTATACCGTAAGTATAGTAACAATTAAATATACTTTAAGGGTGTCTGGCAGAGGGTTGGAACTGTACGAAGTGTCTGGCTTTCGGCAAGATGACTTTTGGGATTATTATAAGTCAAATATGTAAAAACTGAGTTTTATATTTTACCAAATTTAACACACAATTTTACACACCTTTATTACCTGATACCTGCGAAAGCCACCGCGACCCAAGTTACATAGACGGGATTCATTCTTACCTGTGTTGGGGACATACTTTGAGAAACTTACAGGTTTTATACTTTACCGAAGGTCTGCGGGCCGCTGGCTCTTAGTCTATAGGTTAAAATTTAGAAAGAATTATAGGCACTATTATGGGAATCTTATTTTGTGTTTTCGAAATGATTACAAGTTGTAGACGAATTTTTAACCAATTTGTAGGTAGGTGCTGTTGCATAGAAAGTGGCGGTTAACCATATCACTTAATCTTGATTATTATTTCCACAACTTCAATAAAAAGTTAAAGAAAACAAATCTTTATATCAAGATGATAGTCTAAAACTTACGACACCTACATGTTTTGAGTAGTTCTCAATTTAGAAAAGCGCTTACTCTGCCAAGCCAGGTCCTCCAATGCCGCCACCACCACCGCCACCGCCCCCACCTCCGGCACCACCTCCTGCACCACTAGCCTGTAGCTGTTCAGTGGTACCAGGCAGGTTGGGCCATAAATAGTCCTTCCTGTAGGTTGTCAGGTAATGATCCATTGCGGCTTCAACTCCTGCTCATTTCATTACTACGGCCAATTTTGTGATCTATTCCAGACTTTTAAACTTTTATTTTACTTATGTACACTAAAATTTAATAAACCACGCGCGTGCCATTTTGACAGGCCGTTGTGGTCTCGATTTCTGAAGGTTTTGGTTCATTTTGTTGATGTCAAAGTATTTTAGAAAAAGGTTTTACTATGTTGTGTGTTGTCTTTTAAATTCACCACGGACAGCCGGATACCACCCGGTTCCTGTCGCGGCACCTATAATACATATAGTGACGTACTGACGCAGCAGGAATCCAATAGTTGAAGCTGTATCTCAAACTTTTTTCTTCTTCTCCTCTTATAATATTTTCGGATTCACTTCGTTGCGGGAACCAAGACAGCTACTTATATCCCTGGGACGCGCCGGACTTCAGTGTTCCGGTGTTTTCATGGTTGTATCTACTGTAGATGCTGGCTTACAAGAGTTGCAGCGGTTTTGGGAGGATATGGCGGGCTATCTCAAACTTAAATTAGACTTGGACGTCCACCAATTTTTAATATTGAAAGTAAAACTACATAGAAATTTATAAATATTTAAATTTTAGCGATAACTTCCATTGGTAGTACCGTAATGGGCGAAGGTTATCCAGCGGCTCCGCTTTGTTCTGTAAAAAACTCACGAAGCACCCAAGAGCAGTATTCACTTTTGAATCTCCTATACCAATAACACTACTATTTTCATGAAATAAAACCGAAACAATACCAATTGAGAAATTTATTTTCGCATTGAAATCATATTCTATAGGTAAACATGTACGGGTTCTTCCATCGTCCATATCTTGGTTCCTTGCGTGGTTTGCCGAAGGGATTCTTTTCCAAGATCACCTTAGCCAACAAGCCGTGACATGCGCCGTACGTCGTCTCGCCAGTGTTAACTCTCAGGATTCTACGAAGCTCCTCTGCAGATAGGAATTATGGATTAATGAGGGCTAGGTAATGGAGTTTAGGTAATTGGAAAATATCCAGTAGAGAATTGAAAATGGCAAAGGGGTGAAAATCTTTATTATTTACCTCTATTTACAGATTAGTTCAATCCTCATATCCTTTATCTTACACTTTAATTTAACATATTTGTTCCGGAGTGCCAGGACTTCTTAACTCGTCGAGTACCGGTTTTATAGACACAATTAAAGAACAATAGGTCGCGGTCACCGGTGACCGCTTGGTGTTTGACAGTTTAAATAATATGGAGCCTTAGTACTTCGGAACAAATGTGACGTATTTATCTTGCAACTTATTTATTAGTGGAGCTCTATTAGTGTTCTTTCTTTCTGTGATAAGAGTCTTGGGGAGTGGGATACTTACGGGATGTTAATGATGAATGGCGAGAAAAGAGAGAGATAAATAGATTGGATTAGGAATAGAATTAGAAGACGATGATAAATACCTAAGGCTCTATAGACGGACGGACGAACTGCAGTTTGCGTTAGCATTGCAGTTGAAATGCGGTGCGTCTGTCTAAGAGCCTAAGATAACAGGGGGGAAAATAAGACATGATGATTCTATCTAAAAAGTGAAGATACTACTAACTTTGCAAGGAATCATCAAATCGTGGTTTCATAGACATGCTTTTAGGCGGCTCTGCATACTTCTCCGGTTTAGGAGGACGGTATGATCCTCTCTGGCTGGTGTCTGGTATGATCACGTCGTCCGGCAGACGCAGGGTCTGGAGTGCTCGCGCGCGACGCGTCAGGTTTACGGACATAAATGGGAGATCTGAAACGGAGGAGGTATTCATTCACTCTTGCATTTCGGTCTAAAGAAATTTATTTCTCAAAAAGAACTTACATAGTTCACTTAGATATGAGAAACTTAATACAACATCTCACTAAAATACATATTATTATGTCGTTCGATCCCCCGATTACAATATCGATACTATCATTATTGTTGTTTAGCCAGATACAACTTCAATCTATTTTTAAATAATAATTGATGTGGAATCTGTAATTTCTATTGGTAACTTATTATAAAAATGTGATGTGTGTGCATTTAAAGACCATTGGTGTAAATGGAGTCTATGGAATGGTTAGAAGTGGTTTTCCCTACTTAGATTTTCACATAAAACTCTTTACTGTACGACAATCAAGTAAGCCGTAGTGGAAACACAAATCTAACTTCTTTACGTTTTATTAGTTATTTTATTAGTCCCATTTTGAATTATAAAAGCTTTATAACGATTACCTCTAGAACAGTATTTAGTTAAATATTCAGTCCTCTTTAGGTCTTTAATCTCGTTCTCTATGGGCACCGGGTCGATGTCTTTCTTCATGTACTTCTTTGTGAGTTTCGGGTAATCTTCTGCGAACTATCGGAACATAATTTAGGATTGAAAAAACTTTCAAGTCGGGATCGACAAGAATACTAACAAGAATGCCTAATGAAATTCATTACCATTAGGTTCCTACTCCAACGAAGGTATTTTTTTATTTTTTTTTTTAAAGGGGGAAAATCATCGAATGACTGCTCCCGTCTGGGTGAGGCGGGACGGAGTGTCAGACTCTTACTGACTAAAAACCACCCCATTCCTTCTCCTGCACGTCGAGCCGGAGCCCCGGTTAACCGTTAGGTTCTCCGCGACCCAACGAAGGTATAGATGGTATCTAAAGCAATCGTTTTTCTTTTATTAATCTAAACAGGTACACGTAAAGACTGAAGACAGACCTTGATCATCAACAGCCTTAAAAAGTTCACTGCTGGACTAAAGGCCTTCCATACAAACGAGGAGGTTTTACTCTTTACAATTGCCAGGCATGTTGTAGATCACACTTTAAATGGACCAGGTTTACCAGAAAACTCGTGAATATTGATTAAATCTAAGAATAAATCGAAAATTAACCCGTCGAGCGTCCGCGTCCCTTGTGATCTAACAGGTGCACACGTGACATTTGGAGCATTTTTTCTTATGATCCACCGGGTGCTCATAAGGACGCTCGAGGGGTTAATCGTTATCTCATACCCTTGTGACTGCCTTCTTGTAGTATTCACGAGATAGTGGACATAGTACGTCAGGGTGTCTCTGTGTCTCGTCTTTAGGTTTCAGCATGTCCCGGCTCACGCCTACTATGAGGCAGTTGTCGTCAACCGCCTTGCGACGAGGACTCTTACTGTAGACAGAGGTGAACTGGTAATAGGTACCTACAGATTGATTTTGGATTCTATTGCAAAAGGATAGAGTTATAAATGTATTAAAGGGATTTGACAAATTCGAGTATGTGTAGGTATAATTGTCACTGTACAATGTAACACCCACTTTTCACTATTTATGTTATGAGTCCCATGTGATAGTGAGCCTATTGCCATATACTGGGCACGTTTCCAGACTCCGTGCTACTACTGAAAAACGCAGTAATACTTTGCCCGACACGAGAATCGAACTCGAGACCCTTTGCCCGACAGTCGCATTTGCGATCACTCGGTCAACGAGGCAATCAAAGTTTGTACAAATCTGTATTCTTAATAATACGAAAAGAACTTGCAGCTATATATTCCAAGTGATTTTGAATGATATGGATATTTTGTATTGTGTAACTGTGTACTTACCCATTTTTGTTACGATTTTTATCAAGTCTTTATGAGGACAACAGCCATTCTGAAAGACAATACCTACTGCAAAGGAGAAGGAAGGAGATCTGAACCCGGAAAATCACTCAAATACTTATTTATATATGAACTTAGGATTTTCAAAAGTTGGTACTCACGGTTTTTTCTTAACTTCATAATCCACCATATAGACCGTACGGTATTCTATTTCGCCGTCGAAAACAGACATTTTTACAAATTGGTTACACGATTGTCTTATAAAAAAACTTAAAATAAAAATATGTTTCGCTTTAGTTTTGGTAGCAAACGTTTCGAAAATAACTGGTAATTGGCATTTTACATGACGTTTATAGATTTGTTTGACTTTTTAAGTATCTGTGAAGCAACAGTACCTACAACAATCGGATAGGTAAAAACTTTTTAGACAGTTTTTTATCAACATAGACAAACCGCTGTTGAACTGCTTTTTTGAGTGACCTGGTGGCTTACTCTTGAATCCAATTCCGATTGATCGACATTGGTACTGCGAAATTTCGTACTCTTGATTTGCTACACCAGCGCCCATTGCATTCGCATTGCGTGGATATTGAATGAACTAAATGGTATTCAGTTTGGGTTTATATTCCGTACTCTGAATGCTATTTCAACAGCTAGTGGTTGTATAGTTTTGACATTGAATAATTAATGACAAAATGGAAAATAGAAAAGGGCCAAATTAAAAGTACCCTTAACCGACGAGCATGCATGAAAAGATTGATGACTGTTAATGAAGCGAAAGAGATATGTAAGAATCGTAGTAATTGGCGTTCCTTAGTCTCTGCCTACCCCCATGGGAGACAGGCGTGTGAAGTTATGTAAATTTATTGGATTGAAATTGCATTGACATTGAGATTGGTTTCAAGAGTAAGCACCCTGAAGGTTGCAAACACGGACTACGGTAAAGAGTACAACAAAGAGTATAATAAGTAGGTATAGGGGAAGGCTACAGCTAGTTAGGTTGTGATAAGGCAAGAAAAATCAAATAAAAACACGAAATATTTCAATAGAAATTTAATTATCACTTTTATAACTATACATTAATGGTGTGCATAACAAAATAACTGGTATTCAATAAAATAATAGTTCTGTATTTAGTTACATACACTCGCTTAGTCAAGGCGATACATTTAGTTTGGACGGTGCGATTTTTAATCGCCATTACGGACGCAATTTTGCAACAAAAAGTAAAATAAATCTATTAACTTCTTCAACATTGTTGGAGATCCCACGAGCGCGGGTGCGCCATACTTGTGTGGGTAAATGTACACGCACATTATCTTTGTTTGCGTACGCTCGAGAACGCCCAGTTTTGGCCGGCATGCCAATGAATGACCTTGCTCCGAGTTACACATACAAGCGCGCGTCTCTATACGCACTACAACTAGGTAAAAGAACTATAGATTGCAGGCTACAACAGGGAAAATACACTGTTCCAAAATATGATGAGAGCTGATTCTCTGTGTATAATATTTATGAGACTTTTTGAGAACATCAACACGAGTTTTTATTAAGAAATTAACTCATAACTTCTAAGCCGACCAAGTCTACTTATATGCTTCAAATAATACCTAGAAATAAGTCTCATATATTATGATAGATATTTTTGCTGACCAGCGTCTACCTATGCTTTAAATAATACGTACAAATAAGTCTCATATCTTATGATAGATATTTTTAATGGGATTAGCCGGTAAACGAGCAGACTGATCACCTGATGGTAAGCAATCGCCGTCGCCTATGGACACATGGAACACCACAGGCGTTACAAGTGTGTTACCGACTTTCTGGGCATTAGAAATTTGGGGATTGTTGGGAATTCAGATTCGCCTAAAACCGTTAGACAACTCAAGTTTGTTTTAAACTCCACTCAAATCTTATAGTTATCGATTCGACTAAAAACCACACCGTCTCCACACACCTCTATTTAATACACAAAACATCAAATCGTGTACAATTATACAGTTGACAAGAAACTAAGCAAACATAGTATAATTACCAAACATATAATAATGGCATTAATGTTGACATGTAAATGTAAGATTTAAGCTCTTTTATACATATGTAGCAAAATTTTTATACACATATTGTTTTAATGTTGGAACATCTTTAGGTATTTGGACAGTTAAGGTTATAAAGAGAGCCAGCAGTGGTTGGTGTTAAATAGCCTCTAGGTTGAAAAATATTATAATTACAGAATTATAGAAAACAGAATAAACTATAAGTGTCATATGTTTGAACTGTTATTTTTACTAACAATTTTATTTAGAATATAGAATTATCACACTAATATTATATATAGTTTCTTTGTTTATCTGTAAACCAAACGCCGCTAAAACTACTGAACAGATTACGATGAAATTTGGTATACAGACAGGGCTGACTTAGGTGATAGGATATCATAGGTACCGATCAAATGCTTCCATGGGATAAAACAGGACTCATATTGTACTCGGATGAAGTCGCGGGCAACAGCCAGTAGCCTATATATTTTACAGTTTATTAACATAACATAACATCACTCCTTTTATCCCCGAAGGGGTAGGCAGAGGTGCAAATTATGCCACTGTACAATGTAACACCCACTTTTCACTATTTACGTTATGAGTCCCATGTAATAGAGGGTGAGCCTATTGCCATTACCGGGCACAATTCCAGACTCCGTGCTACTACTAAGATTTTTTACAGTTTATTAGTATCGGAGATATTAGCATGTGCTAACAGAGTCTTGTCATTATGTATACCTAATTAAAGGGATAGAGGGCTACCAAGTAGATAGATCGCCTTACGATAGATAAGTGATGACATGTAATACATTTTGTCGCTACATCTTAAAAATAGCTTTTATAAGTTAAAATGTAAAAAGTAATACCTAAAGATATTCCAACAGTGAACATCATCTATACATTACTATAAAAAACTAACTACATTCAGTCAGTCATCTTGTATTACACAAAAATGATAGATTAATATCTACATGGCTACACGTCAGACTGCTTTATTATAAAGTTTTACACGACATACATATATATTTACACCTACCTCTTATAGGGGTAGGCAGACATAGGAGGCTATATTACATATTAGGTATTTACACTAACAAACCAAATAAGTTAATCTGTTAGTTGGTGGAAATACGATAAATAATAAAATACACAAAATATTCACTGAATTTCTGAGGGAATCCGTATCAAAAAATGCTATTTCGAAGCAGTCGTTAGACATTAGCAAGTCAACCTCCAACCTGTCACATTCCCTTGGATTATTATTTATTGTTATGTATTTTTTCTTCATATTGATCTCAGTGCTATCCACAAACGCCTATTAAAACTCGGGCATAATGACAAACACCCTTTTTTAACTGACGTCCCAAAAAGGAGAAGGTTATCAATTCGCCTGTATTTATATATTTGATGGGCCAATGTTTGACCACTATCTCGCCTGGTTAAATGAAAAGGCATCCAAGTGAGCATCATTCTAATGATGATTAAGTTCAACTCAATTACTAGTATACATGAAGAAATTGATCAATGCAGATGAAACGAAATATCATTTGGTCATACATAGTCAACAGTTTGATGTATCTGTTTACCTCAATCAGAGATAAGCATGGTGATATTTATGTAACATTTATTATTTATTGTTTTTATGGGATAAGCCAGTAAACGAGCAGACGGGTCACCTGATGGTAAGCAATGGTAGGAGCCAATGGATACCCAAAACACCAGAGGAGTTACAAGTACGTTACCGGCCTTTTAGGGATTAAGAATTTGAGGATTGTTAGGGATTTAAGGATTAGTGAGATTGGGTAGCCTCCTCCCCAATGTCCCAGGAGTAATTGGGCCTCCGGTAACCTTATTGACACGACAGTCTCTTTTTGTGCCTTTAGGCTTAATTCCTTCAGTCAGTTGCAGTAATTCACCGAGGAAAGTGGGAAGATCGTTTTTTTCTTCTCCTCTTATAATATCTTCTGATTTATCTCGGAACCAAGACAGTTATTCATGTCCCTGGCACGCGCCGACCTTCAGTGTTCCAGTGTTTTCAGGGATCTACTGCAATTCCTGGCTTACAGGAGTTGCAGCGGCTTTGGGAGGATGTGGCGGGCTTATCCCAAAAAAAAGTGTATTACCAGGCTATTGGAGATTTATTTAATGATTTGGTATTGAAGAATTGTAACAAATTGGATAAGTTTGACACTACCATCATTACATTATGTACCTATCAGACACGTATATAAGCAGCTCGTTACCTAACATTATAAATCTGCATCACAGATTATTTTAGGCTTAATTTGGTTATTTACAACATATTTTAGACAGAAACGTGCGATTAACCGCAGATATGCAAGACTAGTCGCAGTTCTAAAGATTGTGGCTTATTTATGAACCTAGGTGTAAAAATATAATAACGAAGTATGTCGTGGTAAATATTTCCTTTTTGATATTTTACATTGCCAACCTATGATCAAAACAAAAGAATTTTCAGTCCAAGTCGAAAATTTTACAATATAACATTTTGAGAATGAAGTAAGAATTAGAAAGTATACATTTACAGTTATATTAATTTCTTAAGATTCTCCCAAATAAGCCACAACCCCTCATCTCAATTAACATACAATTTCATTAATATTATTTTTGGTTCTAATTTAGGTTATAAGTCAAAGTTATAGTTTACACATATTTAAACTGAAACATGACTGCATAATATCGAATTAAATAAACCAATAAACTACATAGTTACATTTTTCTAAGAAAAACTTAAAGATTCGTACTAGCGACAAAATTATAATGTATTATTCTTTTGCCAATCGATTTTGAATTCTATTACGTTTCATATAAAGACATATAATAGTTGTAACAAATAATCTGCATTACAAATATTTCTTTGCGTCTAAAGTATTTCTTAATGACAATGTAATAAAGATCAATATCGTCTGATTGTGTAAATTGCGTTTATTTTAAATACAATGTAAGTATGAAGCAAAATATAAAAAAAGGCTATTATAATTGTGCTATATTGACTGTTTTAACATTTCTGGAAACTTAAGGACAAACTGGACGTTATCTGCGCAGCTTTAAGGTCGAATTTCGTCCTTCCAATAGGTTTAGTAGTTTTGAATTGTTATGAATTGTTCTAGAAGTTTCCAAAAACAATGAGACGTGCATGTATCACACAGAAAACAATACTGGTTACCATAAAACTTAAAATCTATTGAATATATTGTAAATGATATGATAAAATGTCTCACACCGCCCGTCTGTCTATAAATTGTGTTCATACAAACTGTAAACTCGATTATCTATATTGAAAATTTGCTAAAAACACAAATTTATCTTTTGTTGGAACGGTTTGTTCAATACAAAGTCGATATTTACATTTTTTTTTTGTTTTTGAAATCAGTTTTCATACTTAGAAAAAGTAATGTAGAAAAGTCCAATAGAATTTATAAATCGTTGCATAGTTTAACAACATTTTATTTAAAATTTACATAATAACAAACTTTATTATATTTTTTAAAATACAATAATAACCAATATACGATAGATAATTTGGTGAATTATTTACAATTTCGTTGAAAATATTCAAACAAAGAATGTTGCCACAAACTTGTATTTATCGTACCTAGCAACACTAGCCATGGCACTCAAATGATAATAATGGAAAATTAAAAAAAAAACAAACATTAAATAACTTTACTTTCTATATTAATCAGCAGTTCTAATAAGCAGCTACTTACAGTAAAACTTACAGCTTTCATAAAACCATACAATCTATTTGAATTATAGAAATATTTGTCATCTTCAGTCAAAACAATAGTAAGGATAGTTTTCTTTATACTAATGTCGGCGCATTGCTATGGCCATCGATCATAGAAGCGGCGACGCGCGGGACAGTGGTATAAAACCTGCACGATCACCGCGCTTCTTCTTCTACACACTCGGTTCACGAACGCCATAGCTTTCGGCATATATCGGTAGTAACAAGCTTAAGGCCCGTCTGACAGTAAGTGATTAAACACCATGGCCTAAGTACATTGCCAACATTAGAGACATTACTAATGTGTTACTGTGTTACCTACTGTGTAGAGAACTATTTCTTCGTGACGTCAATTTTTGAGAGCTTTGCTCTAAAATGATAGCACAATTAAACGAGTTGGGTATTCAGAACTTTCACCAAACGCTGGTAGCAATATTATGACTCTATTTAAGCCATTTTAAGCCTTCTGCCCCTAAAATAATGGCGAAATTAAACAAGTTTAGCATCAGGACATTTTACGGTAGTATTTTGTAAGAGGATGGTAATTTTTTGGTGGAGGTGGTCCATTCAAGTTACATACAGTGAGAAGCAGGTCAACCTACCTATCTTTTGTTACTGTCAATTTTTTATTCGATTTTAAACTCTAACGTTTGGGTATAAAGACGAAAATCCAATGACAAAAGGAGTAGTTTGATGTGCTGGTTATTGTACAATCGCTGGGTTCACTCGCCAAAGAGTTAGCAATACAAAAATTTCATAAACAATTCAATAACTAAAACAGATCTATCATTGTTTTATGAATAGGATAAATGTACCGTAAGTAGACTGCTAGTAATTAGTTACATCTTATTAGTAATGTAAGTCTATTTGCTTGGCGGGACACGTACACATCCTATGACATCGTCGCTAAGACAAGCTATACGTTTTAGGAAACTGTCTTGCGACTTGTTGATAAAAAACCTTTGAAGTTTGATCACCATGTTACAAATATATGTTTTATTTGAAAAAGGCAGGCATAGGAATGAGGAAAGAAAAATAACTTTCATATTAAGTTTATAATCGAGATTATAAGGAAAGTAATAACCACTAGATTTGTAGTCAATTTACAAAGGTATTGTAGATTTTTGTACACAAATAATTTACATATTTCAAAAGCAACAAGAGTAACAACTTACAATATAGCAAGAATATATAAGAAATATACAATGCAAATGCCAATAGAAAGACTAAGCATTGTAGAAGACTCTATGCCAGCCTTTTTCTTTAAAACGCATAATGTGACCAGCACAATACATAGAAGGTTTAAAGACCTCTTCTAGAGGTCCATCAATTTAAAGGCCGACTAAGCGTTTCACAAAAGTGGTATTTCATACAAAAGATTGCGCTGTCTGGTAATTTTGCGCAAATTTTGAATCGATGCGCAATTGTTACATTAAGTTTGCGCAACGAGTTAGTAAGTTTTGCGCAACATTTGATTTAATGCGCAAACGTCACATCATTGTTGCGCAATATTTTTTGTAAGAAATAATACATTTTTGCTATAAATTTGTTTGTCCTAATTCACCTATCTATTCTTACTTGGTGTGCCCGCCGTGGTCGCGTCCGTGTCAGTAGGACCGCTCGTCCTCGCAGTAAGACGCGGTCCGCCGTTGCTATGGCACCCGGAATGGTACCACTAAGTCCTCGTGATGTTCCACTCGGAGCTCTGAGATCGCAGCGGCCGCTTTCTTTACGGCATTTGTTATCTGGAAATTTTATTAAGAATTCTGTGTGATTTAGGTGAAATTTTTGTGACAAATATTATGATAAAAGAAACTTAATTAACATTTTTCATTAGTTATGCATGATAGAGTCGAATATACCAAATGCTCATGTAGTATTAGTGTGTAGACTACAAGAATGCATAAGGACTAGATTGATACCATTTATGGCTATTTATACCCGCACCCGCCAGTGCAGCGGGAGCCGCAAACAATGCAACTGCGTTTTTCGACCGCCGCGGTCGTAAAACGCGCCGTGAAATGTGCTTTGATTTTTTACATATATATCTGTATTTTACAAAGGCGGTGGGCCCGCATACACCGCGGGCGCGGAAGAAAATCGCGCCATGAGTCCTTAGCATAAGGCTATGTAGAGACTAATAAAGACCAGACCTCACATACATAAATATGTACAGTCCACACACGACATTTATAAGAATAGATAAATAACTATTCTTATAAATGTCGTGTGTGGACTGCAGATTATGTGATAAAATGGGGCTTCTTTAAATTAATGGCTTCGGTCACATACAGTTCATTAGTCTCAATACTTTGGAAGATCATTTGAGACGCAGCGCATATAGACTAAAATAAAATGTCACCTTGAATTGTATGATAAAAATACAATGACAATTCGCATAAATTATGGTTTACGAGAATGGTTAATGTAAAATCGATGTAAACGGCAAAAATTATCAGTTGGCATTCAATACATAAAATAACATAACGCATTTTATTCCCGAAGGGGTAGGCAGAGGTGCACATTATGCCACTGTACAATGTAACACCCACTTTTAACTATTTATGTTATAAGTCCCATGTAATAGGGGTGAGCCTATTGCCATATACCGGGCACAATTACGAGAGGTTCAGGTACTATGTAGGTTATGAATATATTTTTCATCCATCTGCCAAATGGATATGTCGCCTTCCCTATAAGACCTCATAATAGAAAAACTGGGACAAGAAAGGTGCATTGATGTAAACATTTGATTGACATACCATTTTCTCGGCAAAATCCAAATTCAAAAGAGAACATAAAAATATAAACAATAACTTACAAGGTCCTTATCCCCAGCTCCTAGTGGTGGCTTGGACAGCAGGGCAGCTCGCTCAGCATGTGGCAGGTCAGCCAGTAACCGTGGCGCCGCCGCCCCCGCCGCGCCGAGCCCTGCCACCCGAGCACTGTATACTCGGACGCGCTCAGAGTACGCCCCGGCTTCCAGCGCGTAGGGACCTAGGGCTCCTACGTCGATCACATTGCTGAAATCGAATATTGTGATAATGATAAAATACATGTGTTTTTAAGATAGTAGTTTGTAGTAGACTAAGGGGATGAATAGTTTCAGCTTATGTTATTATCATTGTGAATTAATTTCTCAATTTCTAAGTGTCGTGCTCTATGCTATTGGCCATCTAAGCATTATCCTCAATTTTATCTAGTCATACTGTAAAATTTTTTCGCTTTTTCTTTTCTAACCGACTTCTCAAAAAATAGGAAGTTCTCAATTTAAGTGTTTAACACTTTACAAAGTACAGGATAGAAACGTCACTCACGTGGCAGTCTCATGCAGTATCCTGTTGAGTGCGCTCTGCTCATCAGGTTTCCGCGGCGGAGTGGACGCCGAGGCGGCCGGCACCGGCGTCTCCTGCTGCTGCTCCGTCACCTCCAGGAGATGTGTTCTTTCGTTCACTGTGTTCTCCTGCAAACAGTTAAGGAGTATTTTATAAATGGAAAAACACAAGAATATGCAAGAAATGACGATAATCTAGAAAAAGTTAAATGTAACAGATATACGATTTCTTCCAAGCGTATGCAGATTGTGTATGTATAAAAAATATTGTTTTAAAAGGTAAGTACTGAAGAAATACTTGTTTTTAACCGACTTCAAAAAGGAGGTTGTATGTATGTGTGTGTGTGTGTGTGTGTTTGTGCGCAATTATCTCGCGATTTGTTGAACCGATTTTGATGCGGTTTTCAGAAAAGTTGTTACACTTAGGAAAAAGTATTAGTATATTACTTAATTAACCGACTTCAAGAAAACAAGAGGGCGTAAAAGTCGGTGTTTTTACCATAGTTTATAAAACAGATATTAATTAGTAAGATATCTCAAACATAAATGGATTTTGGATATAAAAACTTTGTATCTGGTTTATTCCAGATTGAGATGATGATACTATGTATTGCAGTACAGCTCGTAAGGTAAATCTATTCATCGATGAACCTGCAATTGCATAGATAAGATTAATTTAGAAGTGAATGAATACATAACTAGATTATGCTTTGTTTTTGTAATAAATTCTAAAGGTTATTAGGTTAATATAATAATAATGTTGCAATCAATTAAATAGTTTTAATTTTCATCAATAAACAAAGTGTAAATTAATATTTATTGCTTATTTATTTTGAAGTGTCAATCTTTACAATGTAAATTAGCTATCATGTTTATTTAAGAGCATGTCAAATTATTTTAAAGAACTAAAGATCAAGTTTACTGGTGTCCTATTGCAGAGACCTATATTATAATACAAACAGGTTGATTAATTAATGAATAAACATGTAGTAATAATGTTCCTAATGTTACCAATTCATCACTACATAGTATAAAATAAAGTTGCTATCCGCCGTCTGTCTGTCCCTATGTATGCTTAGATCTTTAACTACGCTACGAATTTAGATGCGTTTTTTTTATTAGATAGAGTGATTCTTAAGGAAGGTTTAAATGTATAATACATGCATATTGCACCCGTGCGAAGCCGGGGAGGGTCGCTACTTATAAATATAATGTGCAACCTAAATTTCATTTACAATTTTCATGAAAAAGAATCAATTTTCTGTTACATAAACATAACTTATATACTACACACTTTAGACTACAAACAAGATTAAACACTGTGTAAAATCTATTTACAACACTCAAAACAACACAATACCAATGACTCATGTCGATACAGACATGTAATCCTAAACCACAGAGTGTTATATCGCAATGAATGTCTCATATTTGTACACTTTCAATATACTCGGGTTGATTTAAATTTATAATATGAGTTTTTCTATACACTATTATGAACTGTAACTTGTAGAGGTCAAAATTGCAATTGATTTAAAATCTTTTATGTAATGTTAAACAGTGATTTAAACATAATATATCTTCACGCCTTTTAATCCCCGAAGGGGAAGGCAGAGGTGCCCATTTCGGCATTTGATGCCTCTCTACAGTGTAACACCCACTTTTTACTATTTATATAATGTGATTTAGAATTGTTATTAAGATATATTATACATTATATACACTGTTTGATAAAAATAATCTTTACATCTCAAACAATAAGATTCATTTTGCAAACATAAGCATGTGGTTAACAATAATTTGTACCTAATCATAATAATTATTGTGTTAAAATACATGATATGAATTCATGTTTCACTTATCAGAGAATGTCAATTTCCTGTTCACTTCGCAAATAATTATGAACATATTAATACCAATTTTTTGGTATATCTTTTATATTTTCCATCAGTGCTATATATAGAGTACTAGTTGCCTAAACAAATTAACTCTTAGTCTTCTATGAAAAAAGATTTAAGCAAGATACAGTCTCATTTAGCAGTAGATGGGAGGATACAGTAAAGGAACAGTTTTTTTTTTTCTTAAAAAAAATAGTTGCCCAACATTAGGAATTTTTCCTGTATTGTGGGTGCGTTTACAAAGATACAAGTTTACATATGCATCACAACCAGACTCAAAACAACAATTTGATTACACAAAGAGTTGCTCCGGGTGGGAATCGAACCTGCTAAAAGTTGATCAGCAGCTGGTTACCTTGCCACCACGCCAACCATGCAGTTAGTCTAGTACATATGTAGGCAGGTCATAATTATGTTTCATAGACATCTCAGTCCTATCTTTAGGACTAAGTAAAGTTCACCTAAATACATACACATACTTAAACAGGTGTTTTAATAAAATGTTATAACAAAAAGTCGGCCCATCAAATAAAAAAAACAATATTTATCCAAATGCAAACTATTTCCACATGAAGGTTAGTTTGTTATTTCAGTCACATTGATTTCACTACGACATCAGGGTTATGAGGAACTTAGGTACTAAAACAGACAATGGAATTGATACATAAACATTGGACAATGACCATCAAGATCCTGTAACAATAACCTAATTGTAAACTCCGGCCATCTAAATTGTGTGTATGATTACTAAAGCACGCTGTTTATGTATTTAATTAGATAAATGCCACTTCAATACGAATATAAACGATAAAAGATAACCATTGTGTGTCAGTGTCAAAGTTAGGGAACGGAAATGAAATCAAACAGTTCTTGAACCACCCATTTTTCACGCACGAAACGTTCCCAATACGTTTTTAAAACTTTTACACAACATACACTCGATTTTATTAATTAACACGTAAAAATAGTGTTAAATTTACCTGTGGATCGTTGTCTTTGTGGCAAATACTATAGCAGCACCCCATGACAGCGGTTTTTAGCGAATCGAAGCATGAATGCAACGACGTGTCTTCGTCGTCGGACTGCATAAATGTTTATATTTATTGTCTCCCGATGAGGATAAAAATAGAAAATTCCGTATTTCGCAGCAGGCGAAACTTGCAAGCAACAATGACAGATAATGTGACACATAAAATGTAAATGTCATTCTGTCCTGTCATTGTCAAAACAAACTAATTATTTGGTTCAGAAATGCACTAAACTAATACTACTTTTATTTTGCATAGTTATATCCATTAAGAGACAATTTTACACATTCTAACCAACTGATTATCAGATAAATTGTATTATATCAGTTTCATTTAACCCCCAGGTACCAATACAACCCCCTACTTATTGTTATTTTATGCATTATGCTTCAAAACGTTTTGAAATGAATTTATTGACAGTTTCCACTTTTATGAGACAAATGACAAGTGACAACTTTGCTTGTTTGACGTATTTCACGTATTATATCAAGTGGATTATTAGAACATACAATAAGTCAAAAACACGTCGACTATCCAGTGAATTATTATACAAACTTAGTTTATTGATTGAAAATGTTAAGATATAGAGGCAAGAAGAAAGTAATTGATAGGGTGAAGGAGCTGGATGCCTTCCCCAAAGTACCTGAAGAGTATGTGGACAGTACACCTGTAGGCGGCACTTTTTCAGTTATCGCATTTTTTATAATTATGTTGCTGATATACAGTGAAGTGACGTATTATTTAGACAGTAATTTAGTTTTCAAATTCGTGCCGGATACTGATATGGACGAAAAACTTCGAATAAACATAGACATGACTGTTGCTATGCCTTGCTCCAATATTGGTGCTGATATTTTGGATTCCACTTCACAAAGCGTTTTCGGTTTTGGTGAGCTTCAAGAAGAGGATACGTGGTTTGAACTGACGCAGGAGCAACAAGACGCGTTTGATGCAGTAAAATACCTCAATTCTTATCTTAGAGAGGAGTACCATTCCATTTGGAAGTTATTATGGAAGAAAGGCCATGGATCAGTTCGGGCTACCATACCACCTAGAAAAACTAAACCTAACCGACGGCCAGATGCATGTAGACTCCATGGAGTTCTAACTTTGAATAAAGTAACTGGCAACTTCCATGTTACTGCAGGAAAAAGTTTGCATTTACCTAGAGGACACATACATCTGAACATGCTATTTGATGACACTCCACAGAACTTTAGTCATAGAATACATAGACTTAGCTTTGGTAGTCCGGCTAATGGAATAATTTACCCGCTGGAAGGTGATCTGAAAGTAACCCAGGATGAAAATATGTTGTACCAATACTTTATAGAAGTGGTACCGACTGATGTAGACACTGCTTTTGAGACAATAAAGACTTTCCAATACTCTGTCAAAGAGCTTGAGAGACCGATAAGTCATTCCAAGGGATCTCACGGAGTGCCCGGTGTCTTCTTCAAGTATGACATGGCTGCATTAAAAGTTCAAGTTTACCAGGAAAGGGAGAATGTATTACAATTCACTCTAAGACTGTTCTCAATTATCGGAGGCATTTATGTTATAGTCGGGTTCTTGAGTACCATAGTTCTTACTATAAAAACAAGCTTGGTGCACAAAACTGCACCAATTGCTCAAAAACAGGTGTATGATGGTAAGGTGCGGGTACAGCCGAACCCACTGCTAGTCACTCCCGACCTCAGTGTTCCTGTAGAGCTAGTGAAACCATGACATGAGGCTCCGCCCCGTAGTCATGACTTTTATTTTACCTAATTTTGTATTGTATATAGAGATTTTTTATATAACTATTGAAATTAAATCTGAAACGAAATTGTTATTTATTGGCTCTTTCTATTGTTACTTTTTAATTGTTTTATTGTACTCCACTATTAAACTAAGATTGGTGATAAGTTAAGTAGACACGTTTTATACTATTTTATACTTACTGAGTGCTTATTTGAATATTATTTGTATTTTCTAAATGTATATAGGTACTTTTGATATTTCTCTTAATTATTATGTATAAATTAACTTAAGTAAGTATTTGTATTGTCTATTGAAATATATTCTCTTTAAATATTAAATAATATTTAGAATTGTGATTTACAATAATGTGATTTATGTTTATTTTTCTTCCATACTACCTTATTTTTGAAGACTGAGGAATGACTCTCCTGTAAAGTTAATGAATGAATGTATACTAACGTTTTTAGGCAAATCCTTGTGATGGTAATTTAAGTGTAATAACTTTAACTTAATTCATCTAAGGTCTTTGATAATTGTGAATAGTATGGTAAACATCTAAGTAGCTAATTTTCAATGGAAATAAATAATAGTATTTTAAAAGCAGGTGTTTTACTTCCCCTTAAATTTGGCGTGCGGGGTTAGGGGGGTTGATAAACGGTTCTGAGTATTCGTCTCTTTCACTCCCATATGTTTCGCCTATTTTCTGTCGCACCATACCTCTCCGCTGCTCTCGACTCGTTTTGTTCTCGCGGCGAGTTCGGCCGGCCGCCATTCGCGCGGCGGCATCGCCCCACGACGAACGTGATACTACGTTCGATCAACGAAAACAGTCGAAAAGTTTCCCAACTTTTTTAAACGGGCCCATGATACAACACTTTTTTCTCCAGAATCAGCAGTGCGGTGAAATAAAAGTGGTCAATCTTGACGAGTGTTTGTGAAGTGCGTCTACGGTTTTTTTATGCGATCGCAATTTACCGTTTCAATTGTACTTTACTGTTTTGTTCGATAAAAAGCGCGTAAGCAAAGTTGCAATATTCGTTGAGAGGGCCGTATATGGTATAGTTGAATCTTTGGGGGCTGGCGTCGGTGAAAGTAAACCTTTGTTAAGTTCAAAAGGACACTGGCGCGTGCAACTGGCTCGAAACGACACGTTTCGCCTGCAGTTTGCGAGAAGGTGAGCGGCATGAATTACCTACTTAGTTACTCTTCAAACTACAGTTATCTTACAACGAGAGTTTTTTTTATCGTTGCATTCAAAATAATATTTCTTTCACTTTGGAATTAGTTAGATAAGTGCCGTTATTTGACTTGCTATCAGTTAGTTTACTTAGCTTTACGTTACTAATTAGCGCAGTTATTATCTGTATCACATGCACTGGTTTCACATTCTCATCATTATAACGTTTAAATATTCATAACATTTCCATTAGTTACTGACTTATGCACCTACTTATTCTGCAAAAGAATTCAGAAATATTTTTGAATTCCCCAAAGAACCTTCCCATTCTCAATAGGCCGGGTCCATGTGTCATGTCATGTGGCTGTGAATGTGACACCGGTCTAATTGCTTCTATTTCTAAAAATCGATAGTTTTCATTAAGAATGGCAGCCAGCTGAACGACTTCGATGCCATTCATGCACCGCCAACTGTAGGTCAGTGCCCTATACCCTACCTGTTGACTCGGCGCTCCCCGTCGAGCCGGTTCTTCTACGCCAACAACGGCTCACTGAAAAAAAACGTCAGGTCCAACTGACATTGAATAATAAATCGATGGTTTTAACTGGTTACGATAGAAAAACACGTTGAGTAACAGATGACTTGACTTGCGCGCAAAAAAGTACAGAAAAGGAAACTTAGAGGGCTGCTTTTAATTGAAACAACTTACTCGGATACCGTGAGTTCATTCAATTAAAATTTTTTCATTAAAATCTCTGTTAAATAAACTTATTCTTTTGTAAAAATGGAAATGTAGCGAAACGTAACAGTGATCTAAATCGGTTCAACGATTTCGAAGATTATAATCTGGCGAACAAGGTTAGCTACTTTCTCTTACTGATAGATAAACGAAATTGACACCCTTTATTACCGAACTCATTACTTGCAAATGGCAAGAAATTGGATAAACATCTTTGAGAACTTACTGTTGATTTGGCTAGAGTTAGCTAACTTCTGGTTTTTCGACGCTTTGAAACAATAATAGATACAAATCCCGGCAGTGAAGAAAAGATAAAATAAAAAAAACGTCCCGCTCGAAGGAATGGTAACAGTTTTTGATTGATAAGTAGGTACTCATTTACATTATGCAAATTCGGTCAGTTGTTTAGCAATAGCACAGTTATTTTCACACTTGCATGACCAGTGCGTAATTAGTCCGAGGTTCCGAATAAAATTACCACCAACTGAGTTTAATACATTGTGATGGCCAGATGCTATCAAAATGATATAGTAAGACGAGTAATTGCTTTTTAATAGCAACTTTATTGATCTCAATAATAACTAATTATATTTAGGTAAGTACCTACCTACCTAATTATTATACTGATTTTGCTATCGAAATAGTAATTGGAAAACTTCGAACTAATTTAAATTGTAATGTTATGATCAATGGATCTCACATTAACAATATTTTGAGCTTCCTGAATTGGTCACAAACCCGATAAGTTTCTACCAAAAAGTCTTAACTCTGTTTAACGAACATTCAAATCTATTTGTTCGGTGAGCTTCAAAAAATTCTTCAACAAATAGTTTTTGTTGATCCAAGCCACCTGCGGGAGACGCTAAGTGTATTTTTTATTCCACCACATGTATTAAATTCCTTCCAGACTGTTTCTAAACAAACGATAATCATGCTAAATGGGTGCTACGAAATCAACCGAGCATTAAATAGAAATGCGATTACAGAACAGTCTTTAATCTAAAGCTAGAAATAAACTTTCCAATGAGATCGCAAGAAACTTTGAACGAACAAATGACAGAACAAACTTGCATAATTTATGGGTTGGAGTTGGTACTGTATCGGAGTTCAGGACGTAAGTTTTGATCCGAAATCAGTTCTACAGCCATAAATTCTACGTCAGGTGTTAGATAAATAAGGCTAGGAGCGAACCAGTCTTCTAAGTTCGCTTCGGGCGAAAGAAATCCATGCCTTGCATGATCCTGTCCTTGTACTCATAACTAGTTCTAAAAAAATTGGTTAATAATATCAAAGCACTAGTCATTGTTAAAATTTAATTTAAACGTAGCCCACCGTTTCAGTGTGAGTGACAATTCAATTTAAACTTTCTATTTGATATTTAGGAACCCGGTTTTCAGAACATGTGTCAAATACAAGCGTTTAGTTCGAGTTATAATAATTCTACAATTTCGCGTGTTGATAATTTCTGGAAACGTTGCATGCTTTTGGTAAGACCTAGGTATTTTTAGCATGAGAAAATTAATTTCATTAACTATGTTATTAACTAAATCCCTATTTTGACATCGAGATTTTCTTGAATACTATGGGATTTAAAAAAAATGTCTAAGTTCTTTGTATGATTAAATGACTAAGTATTTCTAAATAGTTATTTCACCCACATTTTAATTTACACTTCAACAATTTAGCTTTAAACCGTTTGTCCATTAAAAATAGTTCAGGAAGTACAGTCTCCCTTTCTCGAAGCTCATTACACTATGATTCAGCCTTCGTTTTACTTCAAATATTTATTTATTTCGGCCTTGGCCCATCTCACATGTACGTCGTTTGTTTAGTTTTCTGACTCAATGTTGTTCTAGCAGACCAAACAAAAAGGTTTCGAACTCTTTTTGGCGTTCTATTTCGGAAGAGAGAAAATATTGCTTACAAAATAATGGATTGAAAGAATAATACTAGAGTAAGTGAAGCAGGGTTATTTCGAGAGCAGGATGCGGGTTTTTTTGTAATATGATATCGTCTTTGATAGTGAGGACACGACTGGATAGCACTTGTTAACCAGTGCGGAGAAAGTCCGGTAACCTAGTCTTTCGATATTGTATCGACATGTTGATGTGTGTTATTTTAATCGTAACGTCACGTACAAGCAATGTAACGTGTTATTTTCTATAGTTTGGCTTACATTTATGACTCTGTACCAATGCCTGTGTAAGGCAAATTAACTTTGCAATACTTTCGCCTAAGTACTGCTAGTAGAGCTAAATGTTTAGTTATGATGTCTCTTTGTATTAGTTTTTCACTTTTGCATGAAAACCGGTTTTGTATCAGCAGTTTTAGAACTTGTTTAAGTTTTGGCACATTGACAGTGAACACGTGCTCAATGAGAGACACAGACATCTTTGCTTTAACACTGATAGTAACTATGTAAGTAGTTACTTTACATCTTAAAAATGCAATGACTTTCATTTTTTACCTATTTCGGTTGCATCTCTATTTTCTGCCACCTGGTACCTATGTATGTACATGTATTATTAAAGTCATCGCCTGTCCAAACCCCTAATATTTCATTTTTAATCTTGCTTATTTTTATTTGAATTTTATCCAACCCATTTTTCATAGATTCCTAGTTGTTGAGCTCTTAGTATTTCTAAACCCTCAATAATCTTGGCATCGTGCCGAGAAGTGCTCGCTAACTTCGTAAAAATAATTGCCTTTTGTTTATAATTTCACAAGTGATCTTAAGAAAAGTAAACAAAAGATATTACTGTAAAGATTTACGATGTATTCGTTTCGATTTTTAAATATTTAACGGTTATGATATCGACGCCATTTTCTCGCAAATATTTAAGACATGAAGTAATTTAAAGATCAACTATTATTATTTAATTTAGATACTTATCAGTTTTTTCTGAACTTCCTGCATAAGAACCACCTACCTACCATTGAGTAAAATTATCATGATTAAAGAAAATTTTTCAAAGTTTGCGTAACCACCACTTTACGTAGCTACATCTACATAAGTAAAGATAGAATCTACATACATAGTACATAAGTAGCATTGGCAATACATTTATT